ATTGTGGCATGATACGTCTTAATTGCAGTGACATAGCTGTCATAGATGTGGAAGCCCAAGGTGAGATTTGGTAAGATGTGAGGGTTTTCATTGATTTCCTTGACTGCAAATGCCAAGGCCAGGATATGCTGGTAACCCTTAGGCACCACGCTGGAACAAGAGTTGCATTCCTGATCAGAAGAATATCTCACAGTTCCAACAATATTTATAAATACAGATTTGTAAGGCTGGAATCCCATGCATTGTTACATTGGATTAAGCTGCCCCCCCCAAATATACCCACTACCACAGTGGGGTTTTCTTTCTCTTCTCCTTTTTGCTGAAAGACAACAATGCTCTAAATCTATTTACAGTAATCACATTTAGGTCCTATCTTTTCTGAGGCAGTCTTTAGCTTAAATCTTTAGATTTAGGCAGTCTTTAGCATTAGGGGAAAAAAGAACTACACAATGCCAACTCCAGGAAACACCATATGCTATACATTCTCAGTGAGATTCCTTTTTAAAGACACTTTGTCAAAATGCACAGAATAAAGGAGCTATTTCAGCACAAGACTATGAATTTAAACCAGTACATTATTTACTACAGTATAGTTGTTACCACCAAGCAAGGTAGCATAAATAAAATTATTAGGCAGCACAACTTTCTGCTCAGCCCACAGAAGCACATTATATAACCATACTTCTATAGCAATATGATACCACTTTAAACAGGCTTGGCTTCCACAAAGAATCATGGAAGCTGCTGTTTGTTAAGGTCAGTGAGAGCAATTTCTCAGTCAATTTGTCTTATCAGGGTACTGTTACTGGAATGAGGTCTCCTACCTACTGTGAGGATGGTCTATGATAACTGCTGAACAACAAAATGAGTGGTGCCAGAATAGAAACAGAAAAGGGGGCACAAGATGAGTAAAAAACAAGGAGGAATGTGGCACAATAAAGTAGTGAGAAAGAACCAAAAGGAAGAGAACAAAGATTGTGTGCTTAAACAAATAAATCCTTCCTACACACACACACACACACACACAGAGAGAGAGAGAGAGAGAGAGAGAGAGAGAGAGAGAGAGCTCTTGCATTTCCCTTTGGAGATTCCTCTGGTTGTGTGATCTTCTTCTGCAGAGATATTTCTTTTAACTAAATGGAAATATTAAATGAAAATAAAAACAGACACAAAACTAGTTCTTACACAAGCTCTTCAGGCAATCCAGATAGGGGTTCTTCCATGAAAGTTGCTGAACTGAAAATAAAGGCATCAGGAGAAGCTATGCTACCAATAATGAAATCTCCTGGAGGCACACAAGGCACCATCCAACCATCTTAGGGACTCTATTCAAGATTTGTTCAGGGTTTACTGCTCAACCTTTTCCTCTCACAAAGATATCTCACAAGGCAAGAGAGGTTTAGGATCAGAGTTATCCTTCTCCTAAATGAGTGACCTTCCCAAGTTGACAGGCCCCATGTACTTCTCACTTCTCTCTACAGCATGTGCCGAAACTGCCTTCTTGACCGTTGGACCCACTATTGGTTTCATCTGCTCAATCCACTGGAGCCTGTCTTCACATGCAGACAGAGATAGATCTAATTTAATTTGAAGGAAGGTATTCTCAAGTACGTGTGTATAGGGTTGCAGCCCCAGCAAGTGTTCTTAGGCTGCTGTTCTAGGACTGACCACTCCAGCGACATAATAAATAGAAGGGGGAACAAAACATTCTTACACAAGCTCTTCAGATAATTCCGGTGGGGCTTGTTCAGTGAAGGTTCCTGGATTGGAGACAAAGCCACCATGAGAAGCAATGCCACCAATGATAAAATCTCCTGATCGATGGTACTTATGAAGTGGCTGGTGTATATATGGAACCTTGCAATTTGCTATGTGGAGCTGACATACCTTTGGAGTAAGTAGTGCCAGCAGCAAGACAACCAACATCTTAAATTCAAGGGTATATATTCTATCTATCCACAGATTCATTTACTCTCTTCTACAGAACTATCAAGTTATTAAAACTGTCTAACCTGAAAGGTACTAAAGTTTCATGAGAGGCTGAAATCTTGAATATTGAGGATCATAATCATGGCTATATTTATAAGACCATCCACAAGCTTTGCTTTGAGTTTTTCCAGTGTCCACTGAAACTGCACCAGGGATTTGAGTAGCAGCAGAATTAATTACAGACCTTTTGATCTGTAGGTAAGGTAATTAGAAAGACAAAATGCTGGGTTCCCTGTAGGATTGCTGGAGAATATTTACAACTCTCATTTTAAATTCTCCTTTGTTAGATTATATGGGAACAGTGGTGGAAAGGGAAATGGTGAAGTTAGGAATTCATCCTAACTACAGCTCCTGTAGCCAAAGGAGACTCCAAAATGTAAAATGGTGTATGTAGCATCTTGGAATCAGGCCATGGGAACCTCAGTTCACATCTCTGAAGAAGCCATGAGGCAGGACCTCTAGTCTATACATGTAATAGTTGTTTGAGAGAAAGTTCCATTTAATTCTTAACTCAGCAGTTTTACAAATTTCGACATGTAAAGCACATTTAGCTTTAACAAAATATAGTCAGTGAGCTAAAAGACAACCATTAGCTTTTAATTAAAACTACAAAATGCTTGTAAAGAAAGTTACTTTGTAAACTGTTAGTATAAAGGAGGAAGGCCCTCAAACGAAAAAGAACCCATTCTCTGCTTGATGATTTCCCCCATTCTGTGAGTTCCAGTACACTATTCATTCACATGCAATAACAAAACATGAAAGGCTGATTTTCTCCTCATTAGCAGTCAAGCCCCTTCATTTATCCTTGTGCTGTGGCAGATGTTTACATCAATTTTGTTCCCCAGTTCCTGCTCCTCTTCACCATGGCAAGGGGCATATGGGCTTGGAATGAGGCAGAGCAAGAAATAACAGAGGACAAGTCTGGACCTGCAACAAACTATTTTAGGGATTATATCCTTATGTAAGCTTTCCACCAAACTTTTTAAACAATGCTAAATCTCTTTGTCTTTAATCACACAAGAGTCTTTCTGCTGTGGTCATATGTTAGAACAATATTCCATATTTATTTACTTTGTATTAATTAATTCACACCCAGTTCCATATCTTCTGATCCCATTTCCTGTTGCATTTGCCATGATTTTTCATTCTAGTTTAAAGAAAATCATACTTCCATTCCCACTTCTTCCATTCTGTTTCCAAGAAAAGTGCCAGAAACAAATATTTTAAGCTGTAAGGGCGTCCCTAGGAGATCTCTGCGAAGGGCGTCAAGAAGACAGTAACCCAAAATTATGTGATGTATTGCAACTTGTGTTTTCTTATTACAGGAGCAGAATCTATTCTGGAATGGGAAACCTTCCGAACAGAGCAGATGAGGGGATTGCATTTAGACAAGCTAGCATAAAATATCTGTGATGCGATGGAGTATCTAAATTATAAAAATAATAAGGCATTGCTCCATGAACATACAAAGGGCTGGGAGGGGTAGAGTTTTCGCATTTCATGGTTTGCAGTCTCTGCTTGATGAGAAAGAAGATTTGTGACTCATCTGATAGAAGAAGGGAATCTGTTGCAACCCCTATTTGCCTGAGTTTGAGGGTAATATCAGCAAACCATGTAAAATTATGTGTATTTCTCAATAAAGAAGTTAGTAAACTCTCCAGGTCTGTATTAAAGTGATTTTTTTTAGTAATAATTCAGCCCCTAGATTCTAAGTGATGCTGCCCTAACTCTGCACACATAGCCAGATAATCCTGAGCTTCAGGGACAATAGTGCAAAGAATCAGAGATCACAACAGATGGCTGTCCTTGGTCCCCAGCCCCTCCGTCTGTAAATGGTGGGGGACAGATTTGTAATATCCTTTAGTGCCTTTGCTACTTGTTTTGTTCATGGCAACTGAAATTCTACTGTGGGCTGGATGAGCACAAAAATCGGCGCTTTTCAGAATTAATGAATCAGGAAATCACCTGTTCAGATCTGGGCATTTCCCCCTGGGAATTGCTATGGAAAACATGTTTGTCCACATAATGTACATTCATAGATGCCATAAGAAATGAAGCTGGTAAAAGGCACTGCAACCCACCAGGGTCACTTGGGCCTCTCATGATTAACACATATCCAAGAGTATTCCCAAGCTATGCACCTGCTCCTTGAGAGGGAGTTTAGCATCATCCAGGACAAGCAGTGGGCCTGCCCTCTAGATACAGGAACCAACTAAACATAGCACATCTGTCTTCCCAAGATTTGGTTTATTGCCCCTCATCCAGTTCACCACTGCCTTGGGACACTGGCCCAGACAATCCTGAGCTAAATGAACCAACAAATCAGCTGTGTATGCTCCAAATCCCTTGCAGTCGCTAGATACCTGATTAATGTTTTATTTCAAAAGAGGAGAAATGGATCACTGTATGACTCTGACAGCTTAGCTAAACTTAAGAACCATCAATAAGTGCCAGAACTAAGACGCATACCCCCCAAAATCTGATGGATTTGAATTGCGGTTTACATAGAGGGAGCTTATTGTGTATAGTGCTTACTTAACTGAAGTAAAATTGGTTTTATATGGGTGTTTTAACTTGGAACTGTCTAAATTGTATTGTTTATGGATAAATTCTGATGTATTGTTTTCGATATGGGCCAATGGTCGCAATAAAATCTATCTATCTATCTATCTGTCTATCATCTATCTATCTATCTATCTATCTATCATCTATCTATCAGCTGTGTATGCTCCAAATGCAGCCCACAGATCATCTATGAAAGCCTGCAAGGTGTTGGATACAGTGACTCCCTTATTTCTAAGTCCCATGAAAAGAATAGGAGTTTGTGTGCACCTCCCACCCTACAGATCCTGAATTAAGAAATAGAATGAGGCACCCCCCCCCAAGTCTCAGTGAAGGACCAGTAACCTGTACCCTATAGGATGAAATCCTTACCAGCTAATATTCTGCTTTGCACGCTGATGTAAAACACTAGATTTTGAAATTATATGGTATGATGCAGACACAACACTTCAGACCTTACTTCTTACTAGATGCTCTCTGTTGTTCAGCCCAGGTCGCAACAAAATAATGTAGCACTTGGGAGCAAAGATGCAGCACAGCAGACCAGCACCGGAGGCTAAGATAGAGAAGATCTCCACAGCAACCATGTATTTCCCCTTGGTACTAAGGTAGGTTGGAACAAAAGATAGCCAAACACTGCAAAAGACCAGCATACTGAAAGTGATGAATTTTGCTTCATTGAAACTGTCAGGTAACTTCCTGGCAAAGAAGGCCACAGTGAAGCTGACAAGAGCCAGGAAGCCCATGTAGCCTAGAACACAGTAAAACATTGTCACAGATCCCTCATTACATTCCAGTACAACTTCTTTAGTCACTGAGTGCACATCAGCATCGGGGAATGGGGGTGAGGATCCCAACCAGGCAGCACAGACACCTGCTTGTACAAGGGAGCAGGAAACCACAATGGAATTGGTCAGTCTCTTCCCCACCCACATCCTCATCCTAGATCCTGGTTTGGTGGCCATGAAAGCCAATACCACTGTGATAGTTTTTGCCAACACGCAAGAAACAGCTACTGAGAAGATGATGCCAAAAGCCGTTTGTCGGAGGAGACATGTCACCATATTACGTTGGCCTATAAATAGAAACACACAAAGGAAGCAGAGTAGGAGTGAGATGAGGAGGCTGTAGGTGAGGTCTCGATTGTTGGCTTTGACAAGAGCCGTGTTGTGGTGCTTCATAAATGTTCCCAGCATTAGAGCTGTGATCATAGAAAAGTAAAGAGCAAAACAAGCTAAACCGATGCCCAAAGGTTCTCCATAAGATAAGAAACTTATATCCTTTGGTATGCACAAATTCTGGTTCTTGTTTGGATATTCTTCGTCTGAGCATGTATTACAGTCATTCATGTCTATAAAAGAAAACATGTAGTCTTAATCACAACATGCTGTGATTGTTTATTTTCTACAGAGAACATTTCACACTCATATTTAAGGATACATTCAGCATTTACACCATGAATAGTAGGGTTGGTGTGTTACGTGTCGTGGAGGTTTATAGGTCTAAATCAATGTTTTATTGAATTGCTATGGTTGTCTTGATGAAAATGTATATACCTCAGTTAAAATTAATATATTTACTGTCCCCAGACAGGGCAGATCATAGTGTAGAGGCTGACCCATCTCTGGAATGTAACCAAGCTGGGTAGGTCCAGGAACTCAAAAAACAAAACTTATTTTAAAAAGTACAGTGGTACAGTACAGTGGTACCTCGGGTTAAGAACTTAATTCATTCCAGAGGTCCGTTCTTAACCTGAAACTGTTCTTAACCTGAGGTACTACTTTAGCTAATGGGGCCTCCTGCTGCCGCTGCACCGCCAGCGCATAATTTCTTTTCTCATCCTGAAGCAAAGTTCTTAACCTGAGGTAATATTTCTGGGTTAGCGGAGTCTGTAACCTGAAGTGTCTGTAACCTGAAGCGTATGTAACCCGAGGTATCACTATACTAATATAAAGTTACAAGGTTTAAAAAAGGTTGCAGGTTTGATCTCCATATGGGACAGCTGCATATTCCTGCATCATAGGGGGTTGGACTAGATTATCCTCAGGGTCCCTTCCAGCTGAACAATTCCATGAAATAACAAAGCTAACTGACAACTAAAGCTGACTAACAACAGCAGCATAGATGAAGCTACGGATACCTCACGTTTCAGGTTAGTAGCATAACAGACAATGGTAACTACATTGCAAAGAGAACTCCCATATAGTGGCCTAAGCCAGATTTAAACAAAAGCTGGCCCCAACCCCATGACTTGATGCAACCAATCATGATGCTTAATTGATGGAGCCTTCGAAACAGTGAGTACTTACCACTCCCATCTTGAAGGACAAACACCTGCCTCCCATCACTGGGTTTAATTAACTTGTTCTCACAAATACTAACCTCGGAGGACTGATAAGGGGGCACCTGGGTTTGGTATCAATGCTTAGAAATTTCTAAAAATTCAAGCAGTTTCTAACACAGACCAGAAAATTCCTCTCAGGAAGGAGTCCTACTCCACCCATCGGGATCTTGTATTTTTGCTCTGCCAGCTCCCAGGCAGCTTCCTAGCATCTGAGCTGGATTAGGATCCAGCAGATTCTTTTCTGGCTGAGATCTTTCCCTGAAACACCCCATGGGGGTGAGTTACGTTCACTACTGCTGACAGGCATACCACCAGTGGTAGATTCCACCTGCCCAGAGTGGCAGAGCCATATGAAAGAGGACATCCACCTCATCAAAAATTCCTTCACTGTTGCAGGTCAGGGAATCGGACAGCTGTGGGATATCTTTCTCAACTGTACCAAATCAAGGCCAGAAACAACTGGGATTCTGTGGCCTTCTGATATATTCTCTGATAGCCAGAATCAGATGTGGAGGTGGGGTGGTATCATGGCAAAATGAAACAGTTTTCTATGTCTGTTAGTCTAAGGGTATACATTGTTAAACAGATGGAGTCTTAGAGTGCAGGCCTAACTCTCTCCCAGGCTTTATGGATGTGTGGGGCCATCATCACATCTACAGCCCTACACATGGAGGTGGGGCAGAGAAGTTTATTTGCCAGTGTGGAGTTTTGCACCAAGTCAGGCCAGATGCCATCACACAACGTCTGTAGAACTCTCTCTACTGTTGTTCAAAACATAATCAAGTAAAGTAGATTACAATAGTCAATTTGACAAATAAATGAAAGTTGGCAGCAGCTAAGTCCAGAAAAATAGTTCACAACCTTCCTAAATGCTCGTCTTCTTCTGTCAATAACTACTGAAGAGGAACAAGAAAACCACAATTGAGACACCCACTTAGTGGGTGAACCTCAACCTTGCCTTTGATATCACCAGAACTACATCTTGTCTAAATACTCAGAAGGCATTGTCATTTTTACTGATGGAATCTGTTGTGAAAAACCCGAGGCAAATGATCACAAACACCAGGTTGTTTCTTCTTCAGTAACAGCTCCCTCCAAATCCCACTGTATTAAAAAATTCAGTCACAATTCAAGCACTGTAGAGGAGAAAATCTGATATAGCCATAATCTTACATGCACACTCTATCTTTTAACCAAAGCGATTCAGTTTTGTAATTCTGTTCCATATACTCATAATTCTTACCCTCCTGAGCGGAGATCTTCCCTTCAGGACATGAGATGCAATCATAGCAGCAGAATTGCTCCCCTTCTTTCACTTTCTTCCTAGAACCAGGATGGCATCTCTCAGAACACAAAGACACAGGCTGTGACTAATCCATGTATGAGAAATCAGAATTATCATGTTGTGAATAATGGGGATGGAATTCTTATATTTTCAGCAACTTTTCATATGCTACTAAAGTAATGCCTCCTTTCAGTAATGTATAGATGAGGTCAATGCTACCATCACTTGTGATTTTTCAAAAATTAACACAATATATACCATATAATGCCTATATTTGCAATTTTTACATTATAAAATCGACTAGTTCTCCATAAATTAACACTGTACTTTGTTTCCTATATGGGCTGTTTCATAGTAGTTTATTTAAGACTTATAACGCTTGGGTTTTCATACACAATTGGGCATTGCAAATAGATGCTGTGATCAGATGCATAAGAGTTATAGACACACTTTTAAAATAGCATCTACTAACTAGAATGGATGGAGCTTGGTTGAATGTTAAATGACATAGATTGTGATTTTTTTGTCTATTTAAATCAATAGAGTGACAATTTAAGTTTCCTTCAGACTCCTCAATTGACAAAGACAAGACCATGGCAGCTTGTGAAACCCCATTTTTAAAAGGCAATATTTTATAGGTATTTATAATGCTCATTCAAAATTTGATGTATTTTGAAATTGCTGACAATAGGGCCCTACCTGGTTAAACCAGCTGTACCACGTTATGGCTTCCGCATTGATAGTGAATACTTGGTTGGGATCTACCCTCCCAACTTTCACTCTATGAAATGTTTGGTTTGAAGAAACAATCCAGTTGATCACATCAAATCCAGCTACTAACTCCCCATGCTGGTCAAAGGCAACCTTGTCCCCACCGCTGTTGTTAAACGAGACACTTTTGAGAAAGTGATGGAGCTAGGTTGAATAGGGAAAAGCAAGAGTTTAGAAAAGGCTTAAGTTGGATCATATTGGGGTCTAATGTTGTGTATGTTTTTCTTTTTGGGGGAATTTTTCACTCTTTATGACACAGAGATAAGAAGAGGGGCAACATGTTAACAAGGATAATCATAATGATGATATTTTATTATTAATTTCAGATTTATTACAAATTTTGCACAAACCAACCCTCAAAGTGATTTGCAAAATGAAATACAATATCCATGCCAAACATTTTGGGAAATGAGGCACAGCAGAAACTGTGGTGTCTTTACAATATATGGTTTATTTACACATATATACATCCTGAGCCTATGATGGAGGGATTCCCAGCATCACATGCTAAAAGGGTATTGCTTCTCCCATAGCTGCAGCCTCAGCTTCAAACAGAAATCAAACATGCTCATTTTCCCTTCCAGCTTGCCACCACTTACAGTCTGCAACATTTTTGTGCTAGGTCACATCAACCCCAAGTGCAATCCTAAATTCAATCCTGCTAAGTCTCTGCTATCTATCTCAGAGCTGAAAGAGGACCCCCTCCCAAGAGCCATCTGACACAGAGTCTTTGCTTTGTTGGTCATCCAATACTTTCCTCCTTAATGGCTCTTCTCCCAGTTCATTTCCTGAACTCAGGAACCTGGCCTGTCTTATATTTTTACATTTGCTGGCACCCAGGTTAAGACCCCAAGCATTGGTTAAATTCTAAACCCTACTGGAATCAGGAATTTAGAGGGATCTAGCACCCTTCAACTCATAATGTTGTTGTTGTTGTTTAGTTGTTTAGTTGTGTCCGACTCTTCGTGACCCCATGGACCAGAGCACGCCAGGCACTTCTGTCTTCCACTGCCTCCCGCAGTTTGGTCAAACTCATGCTGGTAGCTTCGAGAACACTATCCAACCATCTCGTCCTCTGTCGTCCCCTTCTCCTTGTGCCCTCCATCTTTCCCAGCACCAGGGTCTTTTTCAGGGAGTCTTCTCTTCTCATGAGGTGGCCAAAGTATTGGAGTCTCAGCTTCAGAATCTGTCCTTCCAGTGAGCACTCAGGGCTGATTTCCTTAAGAATGGAGAGGTTTGATCTTCTTGCAGTCCATGGGACTGTCAAGAGTCTCCTCCAGCACCATAATTCAAAAGCATCAATTCTTCGGCAATCAGCCTTCTTTATGGTCCAGCTCTCACTTCTATACATCACTACTGGGAAAACTCATAGTATTATGAGTTGTTGTCTCAAACTCCATGGACAAAGACAACAACTCATAATACTATGCTCTATTCACTGACAATAAACCAATAGGCTGCTTTAGTACTAACAAAGCTTGAGAATAGACAGAGGAACAGGGGACCCACAGCACAAAATAGAAACCAGGCTGCAGGGTCCAGAAATGGAAAACAAAGTAGGAGAGGTAGGGTGAGATGGAGAGCTGAGATGCCAGCATTTGTTATCTTCCCCAATAACACACAGATTCAGCCTAAGAATTTGACTGAATGCAGAGGGCTCTCATCTAGGGAAGGGAAACTGACATTTGTAAATTCCAGAAAAGACCTGTAGCAAAAATAACCCTTGCATTTTCAAGGTCAAAAGCTGGTGACAGTGGCGTTGGTGCTACAATGAAACCACCTGAGAACTCCCAGTATTGACTTAGCAGACCCCAGAAAGATATTCATATTCTCACATGGAACTTGGCAGGGTGGGACAACAAGAAAGATCTACTATGTTCCAACAGAAATTTGATATGCTCTGCCTGCAAGAAACTTGGCTGCAATTTACCCACCCACCTCACCTGCAGGAATACTACCAGCATAGTCTCCCAGGATTCAAGAGGCATACAAAGGGTCGAGGAAGTGGGGGGTCTACCACCTTTATCTCACTGGATCTAGCTGGCGAAATCAGCATTGTGGAGTCCGGTCTCCTTTATGAAGATTTCTTGCCACTACAAATTAGTGCAGTGGCAGGAGGCCCTTTTTTCTGTATTAACATCTACCTCCCTCCGGCACACACCTTAGCTGTGACGGTTAGGATTTGGACAGAGCTAACAACTCTTACAGAGCAAATAAGTGTGAATTTCCCAGCTGCACAAATTCTATTATGTGGGGATATTAATGCTCACATTGGGAATGGCTCAGAGGGAAGCCTGCTGCCATGAAAGGTAGACCTGGAGGATATTTTCCCCTTACTTCACACTTCTATGGACAAGAAAGTCATCTCTCAAGGCCTAAAACTTTTAATATTAGTTGATGGAAGATGATGGATGAAAGATGAGTGGGGCGTGGGTTTGGCAAGTTTTATTACACTGATTTTATTACACTCAATATGCCAGCAAATTTGGAAAACTCAGCAGTGGACAGAGGATTGGAGAATCCCAAAGAAGGGCAGTGCCAAAGAATGCTCCAACTACCGCACAATTGCACTCATTTCACACGCTAGCAAGGTTATGCTTAAAATTCTACAAGCAGGCTTAAGCAGTATGTGGACCGAGAACTCCCAGAAGTGCAAGCTGGATTTCGAAGGGGCAGAGGAACCAGAGACCAAATTGCAAACATGCGCTGGATTATGGAGAAAGCTAGAGAGTTCCAGAAAGACATCTACTTCTGCTTCATTGACTATGCAAAAGCCTTTGACTGTGTCGACCACAGCAAACTATGGCAAGTTCTTAAAGAAATGGGAGTGCCTGATCACCTCATCTGTCTCCTGAGAAATCTCTATGTGGGACAAGAAGCTGCAGTTAGAACTGGATATGGAACAACTGATTGGTTCAAAATTGGGAAAGGAGTACGACAAGGCTGTATATTGTCTCCCTGCTTATTTAACTTATATGCAGAATTCATCATGCGAAAGGCTGGGCTGGATGAATCCCAAGCCGGAATTAAGATCGCTGGAAGAAATATCAACAACCTCAGATATGCAGATGACACAACCTTGATGGCAGAAAGTGAGGAGGAATTAAAGAACCTTTTAATGAGGGTGAAAGAGGAGAGCGCAAAATATGGTTTGAAGCTCAACATCAAAAAAACGAAGATCATGGCCACTGGGCCCATCACCTCCTGGCAAATAGAAGGGGAAGAAATGGAGGCAGTGAGAGATTTTACTTTCTTGGGCTCCATGATCACTGCAGATGGTGACAGCAGCCACGAAATTAAAAGACGCCTGCTCCTTGGGAGAAAGGCGATGGCAAACCTAGACAACATATTAAAAAGCAGAGACACCACCTTGCCAACAAAGGTCCGTATTGTAAAAGCCATGGTTTTCCCAGTAGTGATGTATGGAAGTGAGAGCTGGACCATAAAGAAGGCTGATCGCCGAAGAATTGATGCTTTTGAATTATGGTGCTGGAGGAGACTCTTGAAAGTCCCATGGACTGCAAGAAGATCAAACGTATCCATTCTTAAGGAAATCAGCCCTGAGTGCTCACTGGAAGGACAGATCGTGAAGCTGAGGCTCCAATACTTTGGCCACCTCATGAGAAGAGAAGACTCCCTGGAAAAGACCTTGATGTTGGGAAAGATTGAGGGCACAAGAAGAAGGGGACGACAGAGTATGAGATGGTTAGACAGTGTTCTCGAAGCTACAAACATGAGTCTGACCAAACTGCGGGAGGCAGTGGAAGACAGGAGTGCCTGGTGTGCTCTGGTCCATGGGGTCACGAAGAGTCGGACACGACTAAACGACTAAACAACAACAACAATTTCACTGATTGGGTTCTACTGCAGCGCAATTGTAGAACTCTGTTATACAGTATGATGTTGTTGTGCCTATTACCTGCCAAAACTGTTGCTTTTGCCACTTCGGTCCTCCTCTGCCTTCCATTGCTCTGAGTTTGAGTCTAGATAAGGACATGTCATGTAAAGCATGAGCAACAACATTGACAGCATTGTACACACTGTAGCTGTAGCCTGTCATGCTCATCTCAAAAAACGTTGCTGGAAGGATCTCTAGCTTCTCTTTACTACTGCAAATATCGCCCATCACTTCTTCCACATCTGCATCGGGGAAGACACAGCCAAAGGCTTCTTGCCAGAATTGTCTGATAAAACCATCTTCTTTTGTGCTGGAAGGATTTCGTTTCTCAACAAATTGTTTGAATTCTGGTAGGTCATTGGAGTGGATTGTGAAAGACAGCATACCATTGAATATTTCTGTTTGCCAGTATTTTTGATATACTAATGAAGTGAGTTCCATTTGAGCCGTCGTTATCCACACTATTCCTTTCCGTAGACGTGGCTCATGTCCTGAATAATATGGGAGCCATCTCAAAAATGTCATGGAATTAGATTTTCCATAAAACACAATTACATTGGTGCTGCTGTCCATTATTTCGTTATACATTTTTGCTCCATTTTCTAGGATATTGTTCACTTCAGCATCAGATGTTAATGTGGGGACTCTTTTTATGAAGGCAAAGCAAATTCCTCTCTGGGAAAACATTGGCAATACTGTTTGCAAATGCCTATCACTACTTTCGTCATTCAGTAAAAGGACCCCAATCCATGTCCACCCGAAATACAGAAGCAAAGCGACAATTCCTGTATGTTGAAGGGCTTCATGTGGGACCATCTGGTAGAATGAATGTCCATCGTTCGTTGATGGAACAGAGCCATAAATGAGCTGAAAAGAGATTGGGTAGGAGGCATATAGAAGACAATAATAGCAGAATTTATATTGTATCATGAAGTGTTTGAAACAACCCACCTACAATGGAATCCAGTGCTGTTTCCTCTGTTGATGGAAGCCGTCTATAGATCTGCTGATGGAAGCCCTTGTATCTACTTGGGTGTCCACAATAAATAGTGAGCCCTATACCCCTTGACCTTTCCCTGTTGCCTGTTCCAAGTGTCATTGGAAAAGTGGGGTTCCATCTTACATGGATTATATGAATAGGGTCCTAAATCCCACTTACATATTTTTACATTTATGAATGAACCATAAAGAGCATTTTCATTTATTATTTATTGCATCATTTAAACTCCACCTTCCTGTGATAAAATAATACTTGACAGTTTTCAAATACAAATCTCAGACACCCTGAATTAAAAACAATCCTAAAAACAAAGCAAATCAAACTGTAGCACCAAGAGCAATCACCAGCAGCAGACTAAAGACTAAGACTAAGCAGACTAAAAACTAAGAAATAATAATAATAATAATAATAATAATAATAATAATAATAATAATAATAATAAAATAAATTATTTGTGCCCTGCCCATCTGGCTGGGTTTCCCCAGCCACTCGGGGTGGCTCCCAACTAAATATTAAAAACACAATACAGCATTAAACTTTAAAAACTTCCCTAAACAGGGCTGCCTTCAGATGTCTTTTAAAAGTAAGATAGTCGCTTATTTCCTTGACATCTGATGGGAGGGCTTTTCACAGGACAGGTGCCACTACCGAGAAGGCCCTCTGCCTGGTTCCCTGTAACCTCACTTCTCGCAGGGAGGGAACAGCCAGAAGGCCCTTGGCACTGGACTCAGGGTCTGGGCTGAATGGTGGGGGTGGAGATGTTCCTTCAGGTATACTGGGCCAAGGCCGTTTAGGGCTTTAAAAGTCAGCACCAACACTTTGAATTGTGCTCAGAAATGTACTGGGAGCCAATGTAGGTCTCTTAGAACGGGTGTTATATGGTCTCGGTGGCCACTCCCAGTCACGAGTCTAGCTGCTGCATTCTGGATTAATTGCAGATGTGAAGTGTACCTCATTATTTCCAAGGTACACCATAGTAAATGTGAAAGGATCAAGGCAGTATAAGATAAATTTCCATAGTGAGTGCACAATCACACACAACTGTCCTACCTGTGGAATCTTATAGTTATTCAGGAGAGTTGCCACATTAGTGGAAATGTGGGCATCCAGTCCCCCAATGACAGCTATTAGATTTTTCTGTTTGTCACAAAGATAACTAGGGATTAATCTCTCCAGTGCTGATAGAAGTATCAATGTGGCATGATAGGTCCTCCTTGCATTGTTATGGCTGTCATAGATGTGGAAGCCCAAAGTGAGATTGGGTAAAATCTGAGGGTTTTCATTGATCTCCTTTACTGCAAAGGCCAAGGCCACGGAATGTTGGTAATGCTTAGGCACTACACTAGAATGAGAGTAGTATTCTGGATCAGAAAGGTATTTAGTTTAACTATTGCCACTTTGTTCTGCGCCACATTTATTTATTATTACTTAATTATTTCAGTATCTATATATTCCCTTTCTTGAAGCACTGTTTGCCCTAAGAAATAAGAAATGTCCATATAAATCTGTAATAAAACTATTGCTGCCTTCCCCAGTACTTCTAATATTGAAAAACGTTATCATACTTTATCAAGAGTTTTGTGTCTCTTTTGTAGGAAATCTATACTTTTTTGTGTGTTTTGCAATTTCCCTTTCTTATGGAGTTTGTTCCATATGTGTTCAAAGCATGACACTCCATATAATATCTGAGTAGGGTATCTTTGTAGAGATAATTTCCTAAAATGAACTAACCTGAAAACTTGAGTGAGCTGGGCATATTTAGACTGAAAAGGGAATCCTTTAGAGAGGCAGGATACCTTTGGTAAAATATCAAAAAGCTGTCATGCAGAAGGTGGAGCAGACTTATTCTCTATATTGCATCAAAAGGAGGACTTGGGGTAATGATTGAAAATTTCAAGAAATCAGATTTTAGCTGTACATTAGGAGAAACATTGTATTATTAATCACTCCTTCAGAGTGAAAGAGAATGTTTTGAAAAGTGGTGAGCTGTCCTTGACTGGAAGTATTTAAGCAGAGGCTGAATGGCATCTGTCAGGGATACTGCAGTTGCTAACATTCCTGCAGAGAGCACAGACTTTGTTCCAACTCTACAATTCCTACCATCTTTTAAAGGTGCTGTTTAACACACTAATTCACAGTCATACTAGTAACATTCGCATTCTACATAAGCAGGACAGTTAACTGACAGTTGCGGGTTAACGTTCAGTTGGGAAAGAGGAACGTGTGAGACCCAAACCAGAGAAGCTGAGATGAAAGTGGATAGCGAAGTTCTGAATGTTAAGTTATTAATCCCCAATGCACAAACATACTGATCTTGTGAAGGTCAGAAGAAGGCAGCAGGTGGCTGTAAGACCTGAGAGGCTGCCCTATATCAAGATCTTACCAGAAGAAGGCTATGCAAATTAGGTTTTCCCAAGACTTGGACTAGGTTGTGAGTGAATTTGGCTGGGGTGGAGATTTAGAGAATTTGGCCTGAGGTAAAAACTGTATATAGCTTGGTGTCAGTAACCATGAATTTCTTTAGAAACTGTTGTCAAGCACATATAGCTGTATATTTCAGTACCCCATTATGTACCTTTCATACCTTTCATAAAAAATCCTAGTGAATAGTTAATTCAGTCTCAAGATTAGGTGTCCATTTTATGACGAAAGCTATTAGAGCAAGTTAATCGGATGCTTTAAAGGCACTTTAAGGGGAATAGCAGCAGTGGGAAATCGTCCCATTGAGGAAATCTGAATTTATGTGGCAGGGAGCTCCATAGGCTCATAAAAAAAATAAACAAGCACAAATAGCTAAACTGGTGTTTATTATAAAACCAATTCCCTACAGTAAGTTGTGGCACAAAAGTTGTGGTGCAGCATTTGATGGAAGAAGAAAGAAACATAAAGGGGGCAAAGAGAATGTTTTTTTAAAAAAGTAAAGTGATTTGTACAAGCACACACATACACACACAATATATGTATAAACATTCACAGTGCTGATGTGAAAAAAGTCTTTTTATCTACATCCCCTTAAATCAGGGGTAGCCATTGTGGTGCTCTCTTCCAAACATTGTTGGACCACAGCTTCCATAATCCCTGACCACTGACCTACCTGGTTGGGGCTGATGGGAGTTGTAGTTCATTAACCTCTGAAGGGTAGCATATTGGCTATCCCTGACTTAATGTACTAAATTTTTCCTGCAGTCCAAACCTGAAAGTCAGAGCTCTGCAGCTCTAGTGTTGCCAGTGACAAAATACATAGAGAGAAACGCAAACAATTGTTAAGGACTTACACAAATGACTCTGTCAGTGTTGGTAGGGGTTCTTCATTGAAGAGTATTTTACTGGCAACAATACCAGCATGGTAAGCAATGCCACCAATGATGAGGTCTCCTTTCTGGTGGTATTTATGAACTGGAGGCTGTGGATAACGGATACGGCATTGAACAACATTAGGTGCACACGACATGTGAGGAAATAGGACCAGCAGAAAGATGACTAAAACCATCATTGTCAGTATAGGACAAATCTTCCCTCAACCTAGAAAACCCCCATGTCCCTCTACATCACAGTCATTAAACTCTCCGCAGTTCAAACTTCCTGACTTGAACATTTTACTCCCCCCAACCTGGATAGATTTGAAGCCTAGAATATCTAAGATTAGAGCTGTGGACCTTTGCCCTGTTCCTCGTCCCTCTCCCTACCTCTGAATTGTATTAGGTTTATTTATGACATCCTTCGCAGTCTTTGCTCTTTGTTTTGCTAATGGGCACTGAAATTCCACAGGGGGTTGAATGAGTAAGAGAACTAATTACTGTCCTTTTGACAAAGCAATAGTTGTAGTTAATTGTTAAGTGAAAGTAATTACCGTATTTTTTCCATGTATAACCCACCCCTTATTTTTGGGACTCAAAATTAAGAAAAGGAAAGAAGTTGCCAAGACTGGTTAAGCTTTTTTTTTTTTGGGGGGGGAAGACTGATCAGAGTTGTTGAGCTTTTTGGGGGGATTGCTGAAAATCGGTCACCCAACCAGCGCACAAAGTCGCACACATTGCGGGAGCCACATATCATCTGCATGCTTGCCGACAGCAGCCACAAATCGCCCTTCCAATTGCCGCAGGAGCAGCCAATCAACAGCAGCCCTTGCTGCTGACACCAAATCAGCAGCCGCAATTCGCCACTTACAATCTCCTGGTTGTGCTCCCAACAATTGCCCGTCACCACTTTGCATTATCCGTGTATAAGACGAGCCCCAATTTTAAACATAGTTTTGGGTAAAAAAACCCTTGTGTTATACACAGAAAATACGGTAAGTTAAAGTTGGGAAACTGAGAGAAGTTGTTTGTTGCATATTTTGACCAGAACCTTTCTCAGATAGATAGATTGGAAGGGATAGTGGATTTGGAATGTCCCACAACAAGAAATGGACACTAGATTCAATAGTCAAGAAAAAGGAAAGATCCAGTTACTGAGGTTTAGCACCTGAACTATGTTTCGTTGGATACCCAGCCATGGACCATGAAGTAAAATTGATCAGAAAGTGTAGGGTGGGTGCCCTCATGGCAGAGTGCGATATTGGAAACCACCTTTTGCCTGCTCCCCATGCCTTCAAAGGATTTTCATTTATTGTGTTTCAAGTTTCAGGACAATTAGTTCTTCAACAAAGCCATGCTCGTTGGTTGCTCCACCGCATTTGCAGCATTCAAAACATTCAGCACCTTTTTGTAATGGAACAATGAAACACAGAACAGGGCTACATCAGGTCATTCATGACTTGGAGATTACTTTTTAATTATTATTCCTGCTGGGTCTGGAGAACTGCCAGCTCTCGTTGACTCCTTCAAGACAGCTGGCGAGAAAATATTCTTGTCCCTGTCAGGATGCTATGTCGGAGCTCCCAGTTACCAGAAAGTATAAAGTCAGAGAAAGTTCTTACAGTCTTTTTTATTCAACTTTACACAGAGAGGCTATAGAACCCAGGCCTCTTTGGTTAATTTGTCCAGTGACTCTCCACTCCTCTGTCTTTCCTCCCACTTCCTCAGTTTCATCATCATCATTCATCATTCACCTCTCGTACTGCTGACAGTGCCCTCTGTCTTTTGAGCTCTTTGGCTCTCCTACTTTTAAGGCTTGCCGGGTTCTGGGAGATGGTGGGTCTGGATGCTTTCTATGTCAATATGCCACAGCTATTGCCTGGCTCCCGGTTTGTCCCTATGTGATCCCAATTGGGATTCAGGCCTCACCATGGGACTGAAACTGCCTTGGTCATGCTGGTTGATGATCTCCACCAGGCTAGGGACAAAGGTGAGAGCTGTTTCCTAGTTCTGCTGGATCTCTCAGTGGCTTTTGATACAATCGACCATAACATCCTTCTGGACCGTCTAGAGGGGCTGGGAGCTGGGGGCACTGTTATACAGTGGTTCTGCTCCTTTCTCCTGGGCTGTGTCCAGAAAGTGGTGGTGGGGGATGAGTGTTCAGAACCCTGGGCTCTCACTTGTGGGGTGCCTCAGGGTTCCGCCCTCTCCCCCATGCTTTTCAACATCTACATGCAGCCGCTGGAAGAGATAATCAGGGGCTTTGGGTTGGGTGTTCATCAATATGTGGATGATACCCAGAGCTACCTCTCTTTTAAATCAGAACCAGTGAAAGTCCTGTGTGAGTGTCTGGAGGCAGCTAACGGATTGAGGTTGAATCCTGACAAGACAGAAGTACTGTTCTTGTGGCACAGGGGGCGGGCTGGTAAGGAGGACTCCCTGATCCTGAATGGGGTAACTGTGCCCCTGAAGGACTAGGTGCGCAGCCTGGGAGTCATTTTGGACTCACAGCTGTCCATGGAGGTGCAGGTTAATTCTGTGTCCAGGGCAGCTGTTTACCAGCTCCATCTGGTATGAAGGCTGAGACCCTACCTGCCCGCAGATTGTCTTGCCAGAGGGGCACATGCTCTAGTTATCTCCCGCTTGGACTACTGCAATGCGCTCTATGTGGGGCTACCTTTGAAGGTGACTTGGAAACTGCAATTAATCCGGAATATGGCAGATAGACTGGTGACTGGGAGTGGCCGCCGAGACCATATAACACTGGTCCTGAAAGATCTTCATTGGCTCCCAGTACGTTTCCGAGCACAATTCAAAGTGTTGATGCTGACCTTTAAAGCCCTAAATGGCCTCGGTCCCATATACCTGAACGAGCGTCTCCACCCCCATCATCCAGCCTGAGTTCCAGCGTCGAGGGCCTTCTGGCGGTTCCCTCCCTGCGAGGTGAGGTTACAGGGAATCAGAGAGAGGGCCCTTCTCAGTAGTGGTGCCTGCCCTGTGGAACACCCTCCCAGCAGATGTCAAGGCAATAAACAACTATTTTACTTTTAAAAGACAACTGAAGGCAGCCCTGTTTAGGGAAGTTTTTAATGCCTGATGCTGTATTGTTTTTAATATTTGGTTGGAAGCCGCCTAGAGTGGCTGGGAAAACCCAGCCAGATAGGCGGGGTATAAATAATAAATTATTATTATTATTATATAATCAGGATGCACACCCAATGCCTAAACCAAAGCCTACCTACATCTCTAATCAATAAAGTTGTGGTAATTTTCAATCTCAGAAAGTTGTTGTGTCAGTTTGTCCACCACTTATCAGCTCACCCCCACACTGTGATTGTGTCATGAATACGCCAGCTTCCAGTGTAGGTTTGCAGCCGGCTGCAGAAAGCAGACAGGATCAGAGAGGCTTGGATTTTACTCAGGCAGAAGAGAACCGACAGCTGCAGGCTTCGCCTCCTCATGACCTTGACTGATAAGGTAGTAGCTGAGAGCAGGCTGGAACCAAGCCAAAGCTCTCAGGAAGCACAAACAGGCATGAATAGTGAGAGAGACAGCCTTTCGTCACAGGACAGGGCTGCAGATGACCCAAGGAGCCCAAGACATAGACAAATAGGAAGGCTACTAGACAGGAAACAAAACAAGAAATCTAAGGGTCACAGGTTCAATATCTTCTGTAGACGTAGGAAGGACTCCTTAGAAGGGTCAATTTAGTGGTGATGCCGGATGCTTGGCGAGAGCAGTCCGGAGGTAATTGCTTGTTTTTGCACTTAATTCTCCTTTTTAATTATATATGTTTACTATGTTATCAATCTGGGAACCTGGACTCCTAACAGCTTGGGTCTACAACCAAACACTGCAATGGATCAACATGCTGTAAGTGATCATATTGACTTCAGTAAAGCTGTCAGGTAACTTCCTGGCAAAAAAAGCCATGTAGCCAAGAGCAGAGTAAAACATAGACAAATACCCCTTGTTATGTTCTAGTATAATTTCTTGGTCAGTGAATGGGAGAGAAGGTATTAGCCACAGAATACACATGCTTGCTTGAAAAAAGGAATCGGGTATTGGAGGTGGGGGGAATGCAACCTTACAATCCAGCACTAGAGGCTAAAATGCAGATCTCCTTAGTTCCCATATATTTCCCTTTCATGCTCAAGTAAATTGGAAAAAAGATAAACACTACAAAAAACTAAGATAAACATACACTAATATATCATAACAAATAACTCACAATAAAAAATTCATTCTTTTCTTCTTATTAGCCGTTCCCTGTTGTTCAGTTGAGGCTGCAACAGAATAATGTAGCATTTGGGGGCAAAGATGCAACATAGCAGACCAGAGCTGGAGGCTAAGATAGAGAAGATCTCCACAGCCACCATGTATTTCCCCTTGGTGCTCAGGTAGGAGGGAATAAAGGACAGCCAAACACTACAAAAGACCAACATGCTAAAAGTTATAAACTTGGCTTCATTGAAACTGTCAGGTAACTTCCTAGCAAGAAAAGCCACCGTGAAACTCACAGCTGCCAGGAAGCCCATATAGCTAAGGGTAGAGTAAAACATTGTCACAGAGCCTTCGTTACATTCTTGTATAATTTCTTCAGCCAGTGAATGCATGTCAAGATCTGGGAATGGAGGAGAGGTTGCCAGCCACACAGTACATATGAAAGTTTGAGTCAGGGAGCAGGAAAGAACAATGGAGGAGGCCAGCCTTTTCCCCACCCACTTCCTCATCCTGGAACCTGGTTTGGTGGCCATGAAAGCCAGAACCACAGTGATGGTCTTTGCCAGCACACAAGAAACTGCCACTGAGAAGATGATTCCAAAAGCAGTTTGTCGGAGGAGACATGTCACAGTCTCAGGTTGGCCAATGAACAATAAAGCGGAAAGGAAGCAGAGCTGTAGGGAGATGAGGAGAGTGTAGGTGAGGTTTCGGTTGCTGGCTTTGATGATGGGAGTATTGTGGTTCTTTAGAAATATTCCCAGCACCAGTGTTGTGATCAAAGCAAAGCAAAGAGCAAGGAAGGTTAAAGTAATGCCTAAGGTTTCTTCATAAGACAAGAAGCTTATAACCTTGGGAACACATGTATCTTGGCTCTTGCTAGGATAGTTTTCATCTGAGCATTTATTACAGTCATTCATATCTGGAAAAGGAA